TTAGGTTAGGTTAGGTAGGTTAGGTAGTCGAAAAACAATTATGAAAACTTTGCTTATGGCTACTAGCGACATTGCAAAGCCTACTATGCAAGGCCCGATTTGACGTTACTAGTTATTTGCAAATGGTGTACATGGTACCTTATCCACTCGACCAAAAGACGATGATAACCGAGGCTACTTGACCACCGTCCCGACGGCACTTTGATGGTAATCTTGGGCACAGTTATTTCATCAAATCAATAGTTTTCAGTTTGAGAGTTCAGTTTTAGTTGGAGTTTTCAGTTGCATATATGCTTGGAGATATACAGATATAAGCGTTGCTTGGCAGGAGCTGCAGCCCTTGGGTTGCCTCAGTTCACGTGCAGGTGAAAGGAAATGAAGAATATAAGTCTCTCCATACACAGCAAACACATGGGGGGTGGGGGGGTTATGACACCAGTATGAACAGACTAAGCTAACAAATGGCTTCATATGAGTAGTAGCGAATTTGTTAAATTATTTAAAGTAAAGTTTCGTACATGAAATGATTTGGAGGTGGTGAGAGCCCAAGAAAAACTATAATGTGTATTATCATCTGCGTTTTTAACAAGTAAAAAGAACATTATCACGGTGCCGGCCTCGTGCTAGTTATGACGTCAACAATTATACTGCTGATCTTCACCTAATTGGTCAACAGGAGTCACGTGACCACTCTCACCGTAACCTATTATATATTGTTTACAATTTCACACCGCTAGGCTCCTCCCACTGGCCGACCACCCACAACACACAAAACAAAGACAGAGGAAGACAGAGAGAAAGAAAAGGAACGGGGAGAGGAGGATGTTTGAAATGATGGAAGGAGAAGGGGTAAGAGGGGTGGGGAGGAGTAGAGGGGATTTTGAGGGAGGAGAGGTCGGGAAAGTGGGAGAGGGTCGGAAAGGGAAGAAGGGGGAGAGAGAGAGAGAGAGAGGAATAAGAAAAAAATGAGAGGGGGAGATTGGGAGAGGGAGGAATAAGGAAGTGAGAGAGAGAGAGAGGGAGAGACCCGGGCGCAGCCGGGTACCCCCTCTGTAGTAACATAATAATAATTATTATTATTATAGTCAGTCGGTATTAACCCGTCATCTTACTGAACCCACTGCATTTTTTTACGCAATCGTAACCACCGTTAAACTTTCCGATTGTTCTGGGAAACTTAAAACACCGCATTATTGCCCGAAACGCTGCGCGTACTAGTGGCTTTACAAGATTGTAATTACCATATTATGTATCCTCACATACCCAATGTACCTTCTTGTATATGCATAAATAAATATATAAATAAATAAATAAATAAATTATTGACGCTAACTGAGCCAAGTGAGTACGGACTCTGGTAGCTTGGCTGGGTCGACTACATTTTGACGCTTATATAGTTAGGCTAAACACTGCATTTTTACGCTGGGCAAATCGAGAGAACTGGCAGGAGGGAGAGAGAGAAGTGGAGCTGGGAGAACATTTCCCCAGTGATGAGGGAAATCAGGCTTAGAACAAAGCAGGAGTCGTCACATAGTTTCTAAACAGTATTTTAAAAGTTATCGGAAGCTAATTTTCGCGACACTGTTCTGCCTGTACAATTACCAATTTATAATAATTTTGTTTTAAACCAGCAGCAGCAACAGCGTGCATCGGGACATCAACAAACGAAGAACGGGTTAAGAAAAAGAAGAGGAGAGGAACAAAATGCAATGGAACGATAACAACATTACTAGGTGATTGTGGTGACGAAAGGAAGGTCGCTTAGCCGCAGGTGTGTGGGTGGAGCAGTCTGCACCAGGAAGGGAAGGGAACTATCAGCAGAAAGCACAAAGTCATTACGACTCTCATATATAGCACTGGGAAGGGGTCAGGATAAGCACATACGGGAGACATCTCCCGTCAGTCACGCAGGGTGCAGTCGCACCTCCACAGATCTCCAGTATCAGCTCTTGATACTGGTAATGGCTCAAAAGGGCCACCACTTACGGGCTATTCATGCCCGTACCACCTTTTGGGTGGCTTAATCTTCATCAATCAATCAATCAGAATAAGGATTTGGGATGGGATGGGGGGGGGGGGGGAAGGAATGGTGCCCAACCACTTGGATGGTAGGGGATTGAACGCCGACCCGCAGGATGCGAGACCGTCGCTGTACCGTCCAACCCAAGTGATTGGACCTGTACCAGGTGGATCATATACCAGGAGGAGCCTGTACCAAGTGGAGCGTGTACCAGGAGCAGCCTGTATCAGGAGGAGCCTGTACCGGAAAGAGCCTGTACCGGGAAGAGTCTGCACCCGGAGGAGCCTGTACCAGGAGGAGCCTGCCTGCACCAGGAGGAGTCTTGCACCAAGAGGAGCCTACACCATGAGAGGCCTGCACCAGAAGGGGGTCTACACTAGGGTCTACATTTGTAGGGGGGCGTGCACCAGGAGGGGTCTACACCAAGAGGGGCATGCACCAGGAGGGGTCTACACCAAGAGGGGCGTGCACCAGGAGGGGTCTACACCAAGAGGGGCGTGCACCAGGAGGGGTCTACACCAAGAGGGGCGTGCACCAGGAGGGGTCTACACCAAGAGGGGCGTGCTACATACATGATACATGGTAGTTGCGTCACTTGTGTGGGATAATGTCAGTGGCAATGGAGAGTTGTATAAGGACAAAAAGGGCATTACCACACAAATACATTTACATGCAAATTATCAGAGATAATGTCTGGCAGATACTAGATGGCCTCTATGAAGCTACTAACCAAGAAAACGTAGAGAAACAGTCACTCCTTCATGGACCGAGTGAGGAGGGAAGAAGTGTTCTTTTGATGTAAGGTTTGGTAGCATCAAGAAGTGTTCTAGTGATGTAGGGCGTGGCTGCATCAAGAAGTGCTCTAGTGATGGAGGGTGTGACAGCATCAAGACGTATTCTAATGATGGAGGGTGTGGCTGAATCAAGAAATGTTCTAGTGATGGAGGGTGTGGCTGAATCAAGAAATGTTCTAGTGATGGAGGGTGTGGCTGAATCAAGAAATGTTCTAGTCAGAGAGTAATCACACTAATGTGACTGCATGAATGAGAAAATACGTAGGAGCTGTGATGATGATGATATTCTAGTAATTGTGGAGTGTGTGGCTGCATGAAGAAGTGCTCTGGTGATAAAGTTTGTGGCTACGTGAAGATGTATTCTAGGGATGGAGTGTTCTTGAAATGAATTTGAATCGCTTCATTGATGTCTGAAAATTTATCAGGAATCTAGCTTATATTGAAGTGTTGTGAATAGCTTCACTTTTCTTTCTCAAGCAATGGTCTCATTCACAATTTTCCTGGAATTTTGATCTGATTCATGTTTGAGTACAGCTGTTTGTTTTGATATTCAGGGTTTACAGTGGTGGTTTGTAGATAAATATTTAAGAATTCTGCTTTTATCCCTGTTTTTGAAAAATTTTAAGACACGCACATTTTTGCACACTTAAAATATAACTGAAAACTACATACAATTAAATATTGAAAATGATTTGGCTATTACATGTTTCATGTGATACTGCACAGCAATAAAAAACAATTTGCGAGATATTTTATTCCAATAACATGCTCCTTTTTTTAAACATTTGTGTATAATAACTCGGGGTAATTGTTATTCTTCTTATGCTGTGTTTTGTTTAGCCTCTATACACTGTTGTGTTTTGTTTAGCCTCTATACACTGTTGTATTTTGATTAACCTCTCCACCTGCACCAGGAGGAGCAAGTAGAGTATTATTTGTATTATTCCTTAATAACACCTTCAGTATTATTTGTATTTTGTTTAATTTCTCCACACTGTTGTATTTTGTTTAACTTCTCCGCACCGTTGTATTTTGCTGGACTTCTCCGCACTGTTGTGTTTTGTTTAACTTCTCCACACTGTTTGCAATACTAAGCCTTCAGTATTTCAATGTGGGGAGTAAACTATTATTTATATATATTGGTGAATTCAGGTTTGAGCAGCAATATTTGCAAATTTGCCGATGATACAAAAATTGGGAGGGAAATAAACACGAAAAAAGACTCGCTATCACTTCAAGACAAACTAAATAGCATTTTGAAATGGTCAAAAGATTGGCAGATGTAGTTTAATGCTGACAAATGTAAGGTTTTGAGGTTAGGTAATGATGATAGTTACAAGATACGAGCTAGATGGTGTTGAGATTGCGAAGTTGGATTGTGAAAGGGATCTGGGAGTTATGATTAATAAGAATTTAAAACCAAAAAATAAATGCATAAATGTTCGTATTAAGGCAAATAGGACACTGGGATTTATTAATCGTAGAGTTAGTAATAAGACGCCTGGTGCTGTTCTTCAGCTGTATCTTGCTCTGGTTAGGCCCCATTTACATTATACAGTTCAGCTTTGGTCGCCGTACTATAGAATGGATATAAATTTACTAGAACGCATCCAGCATGTGATGACAAAGTTAATCCCCCAAATCAGAAACCTGTCATATGAAGAAAGATTGACAAAGCTTAAATTTCATTCTCTAGAAAGGCGAAGAATTGGGGGACATGGTAGGTGTACAAGTGGATGAATGGGCATAACAAGGGGGATATTGGTAAGGTGTTGAAAGTATCAACACAAGACAGAACACGAAACACTGGGTATAAATTGGATAAGTTTAGATTTAGGAAAGACCTGGGTAAATATTGGTTCAGTAACAGGGTTGTTGATTTGTGGAACCAATTACTGTACCGCGTAACGTGGTGGAGGTCGGGTCCCTCGATAGTTTCAAACATGGGTTGGACATGTATGAGTGGGATTGGGTCGTTATACTGTAAATAGGAGCTGCCTTGTATGGGCCAAAAGGCATTCTGCAGTTACCTTTATTCTTATGTTCTTATGAATTTGTTTATTTACGTATGTGATACGAATTTGGAAATTAAAAATAACCATGATAGTTACAAAAACCTTATATCAAATATAATGTTGTTGTCACAAGTGAAGTACACATAAACAGGGGTAATCTAAAACAAACAATATAATGCCAATTATATAATTATAACTTACTAATTTAATCCTAGTTTGATACATAAATACAGTACTGTAATGTAAAGGAGACATTTAACCATGGGAAATACTAATTAACTTTGGAATTTTAAGTGTGTGTTTAAGCATTATAAGGGAGGAAATGCTTGCTCCATCTCAAGCATGCATCTGGCCCCCAAAGCTTGAGAAGTACAGTATTTTGAATTGCATTACATACATACACATTCACTACATGTAATTAAAATATTAAATGCAGGGGTCCTAGTTATCAAACTTCACTTGACAATGGTGTCTGTTCAATTTAAGGAGAGATAAGGCTTTGTTGAAAAATGCTGGAAGTTTGGCATAAATGAATACATTTCTTCCATCTGCAATTTCAGGAATGAGAACAGATCGACTGTGGAGAAACATTGGTAAATCTCTGACTTTACTCTGCTTCATCTTCAGAAGATCCAAGACATCTCCAGGAAGTCGCTGGGAAAGGGGAGATATAAACAATTTAAAGAAAAATAACCAATTATGAGGACTGGAAGACTCTTCTTAAAAATATGTACTAACTATAACAAAATATTAAGGACAAAACATTTACCTTGACTTTTAAGAAATACTGTATTCTGAATTTTTACAACATTCAATATTATTGGTGATGCATGACTACAGGTGTGATGAAAGACTGATTCAAGGCTCAAAGTACATCTTGAGGTTATCTTGAGATGATTTCAGGGCTTTTAGTGTCCCCGCGGCCCGGTCCTCGACCAGGCCTCCACCCCCAGGAAGCAGCCCGTGACAGCTGACTAACACCCAGGTACCTATTTACTGCTAGGTAACAGGGGCATAGGGTGAAAGAAACTCTGCCCAATGTTTCTCGCCAGCACCTGGGATTGAACCCAGGACCACAGGATCACAAGTCCAGCGTGCTGTCCGCTCGGTCGACCGGCTCCCTTTACAGGGCATTAAATGAGCACCACAGATAAACAAAGAATCCAAGTAATGAGCGAGATGGTACCGTACTGTGTGTGCCTCTGCATTTTACTGATTACAATAATTCAAATGTGGGAAATAGTTAGACTCGTATACCGGTACTTACTAATGTAGGTATAACCGAGTCCTAGTTTTACACAAGTGGGTTTAACATGAATCACCATAATACATTAATTACTTTAGGCAGTCAATAGTTCTTTTTTTCACTGGTTTTCATAATATGTCATCTTGTCAGTACTTTACCAACAATGTCATAATTGTTTAAAATTTGTACTGTACTGGTAATTCAAGATTGCATGAAATGCATAAATATTACATTTTATAAAATTTTAGCCAATATGTACAGTATTTTTTAATTCGGCTGCAGTTATAATACAGTACAGCCAAAGATAATCGAGTGAGACTTTTACACAAGATTAAATTTAACTGGGCAAGATCAATGTTTCTAGCACAAATCCCCATTTTCCTTATGTTTTTCTTCACTTGAGCAGGAAGCTGAAAAATTAACTCTTAAAAGTTCATTTCACAGTTTCATTATGGCTTGAGGCCAAGAGAAGCAGTTTGTTGATCCTGTCAACATTTTCAAAGGCATAGTACAAGATGATAAAGTTTAGAGCAGCTAAATATATAACCAGGAATATGGTGAAGCACCTCATTATGGTCCAATAAGGCCATGCAGTTTTGCAATATCCTGTTTCAATGATGGCTGGGGCACTACAGTATGTTAGATATTTCGTCTTGGCCTTGAAGATGGCAGAGTGTTAGCCATCTGTTGATAGTGTGCTCAGTTTGTTTGATGTGCAGTGCCTTCACAATGTCTGATCTTCTATATTCAATGTATCTATTGATTACTTTTGTGTTGTTTGTCATGATATCTCTGGTGATGATCACCAGATACTGTATATGTAAATCTAGCTTAAACATCAAAGTCCCCACCCTACATGGCAAGTTGGCTAAATTTAACATGTGCCACCATGAGTCTACAAACTAAATGACTACCCACACTTCATCCTGGTGTGCATGAATCTTAGATATTTTTTTTAAAGGAACAAATACTTTTTTTGAGCACAGGCAGAGTGGCCACAATCCAAGGCTTAACAAAGTGTCATTTGGCTTGCTTAAATGTGAGGCAGCTTGGAAACAACCCAACTTACAACCATGATTTAAATGTACATATAACAATGAATAAATATAATGCATGCTAAATCTGCACAATATAATAGGTACAAATGGTATATGTTAAAATATATAGATAAAATTTTATGAAATACCCTGTACTAATTAAATAAATTGGAAAATGCACACTCTGTACTGGGATGAAGATGTAAATAAACCCATCAAGCTTGAAGTACACAAAATGGAAATGCCTTTATATTTGCCAACATACAAGGCCTATAGTCAATGGGAGACAACATTTCATTCATAAATGGCCTACTAATAGAATTGAATAGAATGTCTGAAGCAGTCACAGAAACTTTTTAACAGATTATATGGACAGTAAAATCTGGATACCAACATATCGACTGTACTACCAGGGTCCTGGTAGTACAGTCGGGTTTGTTCTGATGCACATTTGAGAATTCTGGGTTCGAATCCTGGGCGGGACAGAAATGGTTGAACAAATTTACTTTCACCTAATGCCTCTGTTCAACTAGCAGTAAGTAGGTACTCAGAAGTTAGTCAGCTTGTTGTGGAGTTGCATCCTGGACAGGGTCAATAATTTGGCCTTGTGGCCTTGTGTGTGTGTGTGTGTGTGGGGGGGGGGTGGGTTATAGAGGCCTCGATAAAAGCCAAACGTGTATGAATACACTCTGGCTTCCTGTCCCCATACAAAGTGAATTATTATATAATTTATATACAGTAGATGCAATAGAATATAAATGTCCAATGGAGGAGTAGGTCTGTAAAGGAGAAATTTGTATGCAAAGAGCTCTTAATTAAACTCCATAAATATAGTAATGTGTGGGGGGGGGGGAGCTTGGAGTCAAGTTGGAGAACAAAAGCCTTGTTATTATTCTAATATACAAACCTCCAGATGCATCTGTTGAGGTTACAAAACAGATTCTAAAAATTGTCTATAAAATCCAGAAAATCCTGTGCAGAATACTATCTTCCTTGGAGACTTCAATTTACCCAGTTTAAGATGTAGGATAATAGACGATAACATTATATCGCACAATCAAACTGGAAATAACCAAACACAAGTCAGAGATCTTTTTCAGACCTTCAGACAAATTTTCATTCAATCAACAGATAACAGAGCCACACAGAAAAGAAGCTATATTAGATCTGATTCTTACGAACAATGAAAAAGGGGTAAAAAAAATATTGATCACTCCATGCAAATAAAAGAAAATATGTCTAACCTGAGGAGTCATCTTCTGAAAGTGTGAATATTTGTGATCACCCAGCACAGGACAAGATAGTCCAAAGCCAAGATGTACTCGAAGTTGATGCTTCACTCCCGTCATTGGTGACAATTCAACAAGAGATGCACTGTTGATCCTTGCTAGTACCTAAGAATAATTGCAATTTTATATTAGTGTATAGACATAATGTGCAGCTATTAAAACTAGGATGAAGGATACATATCCAATAAAAAATTATCTTATTGCTACCAGATTTTTTCTTTACTCATATAAATGAAACATTGTTAGCAATTAATAGTAGGGTAAACTGACCATTGCTTAGGAAACATGAACCACATTTCATGTTTCAGGACATTTAATACCACTTGTATTCCACTAAAATGAAACTAATGTGACTTAACAACTGGTTCAGGTACTATATATTTATCTGTCTATACTCACTTTGAAAGTAGTAACAGCTAAATGGCTGTTACTTTTAGAAGATTTTATTCCATTTTCAACTGGTGAGAGAACCATGCGACGCCTTCCTTCAATCATGCCCTCTGATATTGGTATATCAATCACACCTACAATGACAATGAATGTTTAGTAATGGTAATTTCTTCTCACAGACATAATAACAAAGGATAAAAACCCGCATGAGACTTACATCTTGTGTGATTTGATTAGACGTTGAGATGTAAGTCTCATCCAAATCACACACTCAGACCTTGATAAAGCACTCAGAAGATTGCAAAAAGACTTCAAATATGGAGTACATTCCTTACATAAATTTCACAAATACACAGGTGTGTGTTTTTTATCCTTAATTAATGTTTAACCCTTAACCTGCTCATGTTATTCTCAAATGACTGATCCATGGTGTTCCTGCCATTTGTGAATGATTTAATGTGCCTCTTAATATTCAAAGCTCCTAAATATTCTATTTGGATGTCACTTGATACTTGAGACTTCTGGCAATTGTTTGACATATTAACCAAAACTCCTAAAAGCATCAGCAACCTTCCTAGGCATTATTAAAAAAAAATGGCACCATCTTAGGTGTATTGTCACCCATTTACTGATGCTTTTGCACATTAATGGTGAAGCTATGCAAAATTTCAAGGACTGCTATGGACAAGGAAGATATCTGTGATAACCAGAAATCTATTACAAATACAGAAGTTTACTTGAAAATTAACTTTCAGAATATGACGTCATCAACTTTTCTTCATCTCACAACAGCCTAACTAAAATAATTACGGTAGTTTTTCCAACTTTAGAAGTAAATGTTTTATGATTAAAAAAACAAAAAAAGAATCGTTTTTAATTGTTTATGAGCACCTGGCAAGAGATCTGAAAAGCAATATATAGTTTGTGGGATATATTTAGAAAAAAAAATTCTAAAGAAAGAGAGGACTGTTTCTTTCTTAACCATTAAGACCAAGTTGTGACTAATTATATGGCATGTATGAAAGGCATGTCAAGGAGTTAATGCTGCTCATATTTAATACATCCACTAAAAGACTATTTGCCCAAGTACAATTAAATCTTTTATATAATTTTTTTTGAGACATCATGTTAATGATATTCCTATAACACATAGGAAATATCTGTACAGTACTTGAGGTAAATATCATCCCATTGAACATATAATACTGTACAGTACATTGTATCATATTTTAATGGAAAGACAATTTTTTTAAATACTGTAGTGGATACTAAAGTTCTCTTCTTTAATCCTCACTCCTTAGGCAAATAAAAATTCAATTATTTTCCAAAGCAAAGGTCATTAAAAATAACAATTTAAGAGGATGCCCTTTTTCTTGCAAGATTATATATTAAATAAACTTTTAGATATCATGATTATACACAGAAATCACACTAATGTGATATATATCAATGAGAAAATCCACCAGGGTCAGTTGCGTAGGGTACGTGACTGGCAGTGCCGGGGTCGTAGGTTCGCACCACCTCACAGCCCTGGTGAATTTTCTCATATCATGATCATAATTATCATCATTGCCTGTACTGTATATATTTTCCAGTATTATAATGAAAATTAATGTGCTATTCATAACCTCAGAGCCCATGGTTTTTAGAATATGACCACAAAAATTTGACTCATTTAATAGCTTCTGTTCTAAAAATATCAGGTAAATGTTGTTTGACTGTGATAGATATCAATCTGGAAAACAAAACAAAGCTAAACAATTTAAATATATTTTTAGAATTGGTCATATAGGCGGCCTACTTCACAGAACAATCACACTAAGGGTAAAATGATCAAGGAATCTCTTAATTTTTGACAATTACCCTGCTTGTACTTTACCTCGAAGTGGATTTGGAACACCTTTTGTGATGGCCCAATATGTCTTCTTGATCTGATGTTTCTTAAGCATTCTCTTTAAAGTGTCTGCCATGGCAGGAGTACGAGCCATCAGTAACACTCCTGGAACAGCATAGATATTATTATAGTTACATCATGCCATGTACATATTGTACAATACAGAATACAGTATATATATCCATTATGTACTACTGTATATATATCTCATGCTTGTTTGAAATATTTGAGACAGTAATATACATGCCTGCATGTAATTCACCATGGAGACAATGGCAAAAATGTTTATAGGACTGAAGACAAAAAAAATAAAAAGTCCAAAAATAGACCATATCATAATATTCTTTACAAATATCAAGTTAGAGCAGAATATTAAAAGAAAAATCTTAAATTGGGCACTGCTTACAAATTTAAGCATTAAATAGAACAAAATGTTTCTTGCCAAGCTATAAACCATGGGCCCATGCATGTCACTAACAATGCACCAGGTTATCTTCTTATCTTGAGGTTATCTTGAGATGATTTCGGGGCTTAGCGTCCCTGCAGCCCGGTCCTCGACCAGGCCTCCTTTTTGTTACACACCCCCAGGAAGCAGCCTGTAGCATCTGTCTAACTCCCAGGTACCTATTTACTGTTAGGTAAACAGGCGCATCAAGGTTAAAGAAACTGTCCATTTGTTTCCGCTTCCACCGAGGATCGAACCTGGAACCTCAAATCCCAAGCACTGTCTACTCAGCTGTCAGGCCCCTCAGTCAGGCTATGAATAATTTTGTGCACAAGACAAGGAAGACAGTGGAGAGCAGACTCCACACTACCTACAAGGAAAATTATGCTCATTACGACACCAAAGCATTTGAACATCTTGTTGACCAAGAAGCTAGACGTAACTCGAATTATGGGTGACCTGATACCAGATTATAGTGTAGACGAATAGTGCAAAATGTTTGATGATAGTTATCTAAATTCCTGTTGACACACAAACTTTGATATACTGTAGTACAAACATGCTACACAAGTTTATACAACAGTAACTATGTTGGAAATGGGTGATATACCCATTTTCCCTGGAGATGGCACTAGGGTATTCTCAGACTTTGTGAGCAACAAAAACTCTAGACACTGCCAGGCTTTAATTAATATCTTCATGGGTACTGCATGCACAGGACCTTTTCAGTGTAACTTTATAAAATAATGTTGCCTTTTTCAATTTGTACCATAACTTTTTCAATAAAGCTAATAAACTATAACTAATGTTAGTCCATTAAGAATGTCTAACTTTCTTAAGTATCCGAACCAGTGACCTTACAGCACAGACACATCCAACTCATATGGAACAATGAATTGCACCTATATATATATAATCCAAGGAAGTAACAAGCTCCAACTCAGAAGGTAGATATACAACATTCCCAACCAAAGACACCATCCTTACAGCCTGGACATTTAAAATCTAAGAAGGTTCAAAAGGAAACCAGGCATCCCCCTCGGAAACCTTTGCAGACTGAACACCGTTCTGCCTCCATGGTGGCAGCAAGTCTGGCTTTGGAACTGACCCACAACATGGGGCAGAAAAGAAGTGCCACACAGCTGTGCGACTTCCTCGGGTGTGGAACCACATGCCCAAGCAAAGAAGTGAGGGGCCAAGGGCCCGAGGCTGAGCCAAATGAATCATGTCAAATCTTATGGAAAGTGGTTACCTGAAACTTCATCCACCAGCAGCACCCCTGCTGGTGCTTGCATGGACAAGTCAAGCCTGGCTCCAGGCCAGGGCCAGGCTTGACTTGTGAGAGCTTGGTTTAATAGGCTGATGCTTGAAGCGGCCCGCAAGCCTACATATTCACCACAGCACGGTTGGTCAAGCACTTTGTGAAGAAAACTATCCAGATTTCTCTTACAACGTCCACTTTTGTACTGGTAATATTTCCTATGTTTTTATGTATGTTTTATGTTAAATCCCTTATAAATAAAAGATATGATCAGATTAGTAAGCCTCTATTTTTTATAATTTAGCAATTGTTGTTAGTTGAAATACCTGTATATGTGTAATGAAAATTTGTACATGTCACACAGGAAAATATCTTGAGAAATAATTAAACAAATACTGTACACTAATACATAACATACCAAGTAAAAAAATTTAATTTTACATTACGTATATTAAACATAACCATCAATTATTAAATGTTTGAACTGGAAGTCCAAGTTTAACAGTTATAATTATATAACTAAAATAAATTAGGATACTGTACCTGTGGTACCAGCATCAAGCCTGTGCACTGGGTACAGTTCATCAGTTTCTAAATGTTTAGCCAAATCTGGGAGGTAGTCTGCAAGGATATGCTGCTGATTGCTAGTTCCACTGTGCATGGTCATTCCATATGGTTTGTATAAGCCAACAATATCATCTGAAATATATTAGGAATTAAATACACAGTGAGCTAAATCAACTCCTATCAACAGGTCTGTCTTGTAGACCAAGTCTCAAGTACTACCTGGACATTGGGGTAACTCAAAAGAAGCCCTACATATAGGTCACTTAAAGCCTCAGAGAAGATAACTTTGGTGAGGAAACAAGAAACACAAGCTGACACAAGGGAAGACAACCCTGAAACAAATTGAGGCAGACTACAGTACAGTGGAACCTTGTTTCAACGAACCTTGTTTCAGCGAATCTCTAGTTGGAGCACACACTTTCCATGCCAGATTCACTTACCTGATTCGACGAACATGAAGAGAGCGATGTGTGCATTTGCTTAAGATGTTGGGACTGAGTTCACAGACACAAGCAACATTAAAACAAATAGTTGGGGGCCTTGGGAGAGCCAGTGAACATATTTAAATCCAAATTTTATAGTTCTTTTTTATTTCCAGATACTGAAGATTTTCATTCAGAAAAATATAGGCCCTTTTTCCTCTGGAAATGAGGTTTCAAGGCTTGAGCATAGGAAATGTGCTAGATGGGGTCGAGTCTCTTTACAGACAGGTTATCTTCATTTTTGCCCTTCATATGACAAAGCATTTTGAATTGGCAAGGTTTCTGTTCACACAGGTATGGCCCCTGCTACCTTTTGAAAATGAGTTTTGATGCTGGGGATGTGAAGAATAAGCTAGATGTGGTTAAATGGAGTTGAAGAAAATAAATTAAGAGATATACTATACCCATAATGTGCAACAATCAGGAAGAGCATTGACAAACTAAAAAGATTCAAAAGCCCCAGATGTTGATGGAATTCAATCCAAAGTCATAAAGGAACTGGTAGAGGAAGTATGCCAACCACTGAAACTCCTTTTCAGAAAATATTGTACCAAAATACCCTATTTTCAAGAAAGCAGAAAGAGCTCAGCAGAAAACTACTGTCCGATCAGCTTGAAATCACACATCCTCAAGCTCATGGACAGAATCCTATGGGCGGGAATCATTCTCAATCATACAGCGCACAATCTTGTAAAATCGACGCAACATGGGTTTGTTAAAAATAGATCCTGCCTTACAAACCTGCGCATATTTTTGGAAACGGTAACCAACTACTCAGACAAAGGACTTCCGGTGGATGTACGTAGTACTGTATACATGAATTTTACTTAATTTTGACCATGCCACGACATGGTCAAAAGAATTGCAACCATGAGCACAACTGCTCTCACACGAATCCTGCAGTCTTTCTGAGAGACAAACTGGGGTTTTAAATAATTCCTCCATGCACCCGGGCTCATTTGCCCAATCCCCCATTCCATGGTTTTCTGAGCCCCATGGTCAAAAGATCTTTTGACCATGTTGTGGTGCAATCGACTGAGGCGCGTCTGGGATCATCCTGGACGAAGGTTCGAACCTTCATCACAGCCTTTGTGGATTTGTTCATTTGATGTATCATGCTATTGTGATTTCTGTGTGTATCCTCACAAAAATTTCACATATTACACAAGTGTGGGTTTTATCCTATATTATTATGTCTGAGAAGACATTAGCATTACTAATAGATGAAAATATTACAAACCACATCATCAAATTTGCAGATGACATTAAGATTTATGATAAAGTGGGAAGTGAGAATGATAATGAACAATACAAAGAAATTTACATGAACTCCACAAATAGTCAGAAGACTGGCAAATGCTTCTTAATATTGAAAAATGCATGATCTTGCATGTGGGGCATAATAACCCATGCTACAATTACCAAATTAATAACATTACCTTGCAGCAGATTGATGAAGAAAAATACCTTGGAGTTAAAATCCACCTTTCACTGAAAGATGCACAACAGGTAGGAGCAGTAGTAAAAAAAAAGCTAACCAAACCCTAGGAATAATCAAGCATACCTTTGACTTGAAGGAAAAGAAGCTAATGATTCAATTGTATAAATCTTTGGTATGCCCACACTTGGATTAATGTATCCAAGCATGGAGACCTAATCCAAGTATGAAGGACATAGCTGTTTTTGAGAAAGTACAACACCGAGCAACAAAAATAAATTCAGAACTAAGTCAACTCTCATACCAGGAATGGTTGAGGGCCTCAGGACTAACAACATTGCAAACCAAGCATGACAGGGCAGATCTCCTTAAAACCTTTAATATACTGAACAATTTGGAGGATGTTGATCCAGACAATTTTGTCAAAAGGTCAGGTGTGACACAGACAGAGAGCAATGGTTTCAAACTCAACGAGCCACAATGCAGGACTGAAAACAGGAGTGCTTTTTCACCCCACAGGGTTATAAACCTATGGAACTGCCTACCTGCCAAAGCCATAAATGTCAAACCTCTTGTTAAATTTTAAAATCCAGCTGAAAAAAATTATCAGGGCAAATGGGGGGGGGGGGACCTTTGACAACTGGCTTCCTGTCCTCATCTAGGCCACTATTTTTGGTGGCCCTCAGGTAATTTCAGGTAACTTTTTTTGCATACATATTTATTTGGTAGTTGTCTAGTATATTATAGGTTGAGATGAAAAATTCACTAAGTGAAATACATCCTGGAGACATCTCTGATGGCAGCGAATTCCTCACTGCAACGAACTGGGGTTGGTTCCTTATAGTTCATTGAATCAAGGTTGTACTTCACTCAGGTTGTATCAAAGAATCAAGGTTGTACTGCACTTCACAGGATGGGGAGAAATACGACTGTGAAGAATAAGAAAATAACAAATACTAAGCATGGCTCCATGTGGAACAACCAAGTCCCAAGGAACACTAACCCCATCTACCTCAAAAAACAATATTGATATTTTTTCTATTTAGATTGCATATTACTTATTATTATAATTTATTATTATTATTATTATTATTATTATTATTATTATTATTATTTATTATTTTTATAATTTATACAATACACACAATTTTCCCACTAAGAATTATTTATACAGTACTTTATCTCTAACATGTATACTGTAGTTGATTAATTGTAAATGAATGAGGCAAAGTGGCAGATTGAGAAACTTTAGAAAGAAATAATTTTGTTTTTTTCATTGTTATTTACATTAATGTGTGCAATTATAAGTTTGATCAAAATACAACTGACTATACAGTACATCACTTGAAGGTAATACAAAAATAATACTATAAAAGACTGAACGCACTATAAAAAATTCAAATGTTCAAAGGATGGACATTTTTAAAGTTCAGAGTGGGTTTGGCCCATACAATATCTTAATAAGGTTTCACTATATACAATATTTAGGATACATTTTTAGTATTAGCTACCCTACAATAGGAAAGCATTAGAATATATTAGTTCGTTGTATAATTAAGACTTTTTTAATTAAGGATAATTATATGCAAAAAATGCTAAGCAAAAGTTAAAACTTACCCTGATCATATATTACACTTGTCTTCAGCAATTTTAAAATTTCATATTTGGTAAACTTTTCTTGTGACTTCACACTTAATAGACTTAAAACTTTCTTATAGCTTTTTTTCATATTTCCATCCATCTCAGTACCATGCTTCTTTTCATGTAAATCTTTTCTCATATTTACAACATATTCAAAAGCAGATTTTGGTGCCGTTTCTGCATTTTTAACTTTAGGCTTGACTTTATCCCTTGGGTTGACAGGATATTCGACCAATATTTCATTTTCCTTTGGGTTTTCTGTTAGATGTGGAAGAATTGTTGGTGTAATATTCTTTCCAAGGCCCATAGTTTCTCCTGAACTACTACAAAATTCTTGGTCTGTCTCTCTAGTGTGTGCTCTTTTATTAAATAAATGATTTTCCACGTTACTTTTGACTTCTGATAATTCAACAGTGGATGTTTGATTCTCTGAATAGGTATCTAGTGAATCATTAAAGAAAACTTTATCAATGTAACTTAAGTCGTCATCCTTGCTTAGATGTTCTCTTTCAGTCATTTGATAATGCTTTTCTTTTATATCACTTTTAGTTAAAGGTTCTTGTGTGTGTACAGCTGCATCACCTCTTGATACAAAATCACCAAATACACATTCATCCACGTAATTAAGATTACCAGTAGTAACAGTTTTATTATTGGCTGGTTTTATATAATTCAATTCTGCACTCTGAACAATACTGGTTTTAGAACAATTTATATGGGCTGAGCCAAAGTACAAGCTATCCACATAATTGCTATCATTGCTATACTCTTCCAATCCTTCACTTGTGCTTGTTAGCACTTCAGATTCTTTTTTTATATCTGCTGTGTTTTCTTTTAAAGATACAAATGACTCTTGTGACATTGGAGAAGTTAATTGTGAAACAAATGGTTCGCTCGCCCGATAAAGATCGTTTTCTGCTTGATCAGTTACATATTCACCTTCGTCTGTCTTAGTTTCCAGCATTGCTAGCTTCTCCTGCATGTCTGGACCATAAATACTGTCATACTGTCCATGAACTTTTACCACATTTTCGCTGTCAAATCGAATGCTACCGAAGTTGGTTGGGTGAACATTGTCTGTATTTGTTTCAAAGCTACGTAGTTCATTTAAAATATTTGTATATTTCAGTATAACTGGATCAACTTCTTCTATAGAACGTGTATCTTTGTGTACCTGATTATTCCTTCCACTTTCCTCATCTACTGAACACAACGAAGTTTTAGCACTTGGCACCCTTTCTGATCGTCGACTCTCGTAATCCGTATATCCTCTGGGAAGAAGGGCTGTGCATTGTGTTCTCAAATAACGATTCGTATCGACGTGAATTTCAAACCCTCTATTTCGAAGCAAAATGCCCATTCGTCTAGTATTCAGTAGCATCGTGAGATTCCCGAGAACCACGACAGACGAAGTCCGTATTTAAGCCTATTTCACAGTTTCTTCTTCGCAATACATGCAAGTTTGCATGCAGGTTTTTCCTCCTGATGACTGTACGAGTGGTGATGTTGATGGATACGGCACTTTCGGTGGCGCATCAATGTTCAGAATTTGGCAGATGTTGGAAGTTATCGATGTCTTCTATTTGTATAAGGATAATAAGAAAAATAGACCTTTAAGTAGAAATGGACTTAGGATGGCAAAGATGAGGGGTGGTGTTAACGGTAGTATCCAAATGTTGCTGTTTTATGAAAAGTGTGGATTGTCTTCTTCTTGATAGTAGGTGCAATTTGCATGAAGGGTTTGTCCTCCCGATGACTGCAGAGTGAATTGTAAAGAGACAGATGTTGTTGTGTTGATTTAGGGGCGACGACGATCGAGGGATCGGATGCGCCCAGACAGTGAGACCCGGTGTTGTTGTTGTTGACGGAATCCAAAGATCGTAAATGTAAGTTTCGTCAGGACGCCGAAGTGTAAAGCACTCAGACAATCCTCATAAAGAGTACTTATAGTTGATTAAGTGCTTAATTGCACACTAGTTTCTTTATCAGCTACCTCACCCTGTCAGGGTAAATGAGACAAATGTATGTGAATGCATGTATGTGTGTATATATGTATGTGTATGTGTGTGTGTGTATGTATATGTATGGGTATAAAGCAAATATGGAAGCTGATCAGAATTACATTTCACCTTTGTGAATGTACATTAATGACACTATGTAAAAGACACATCTAATACTTTATGTAGGGCGTACGTAAATCTGTGTATCTTTGTATTTACGTATGTAGGTTAGCTTAGCATTTCAAAAGCACCGAATCACCTTCTGTGGTTGAGTGTTCAATAAACCCTTGAACTGTATGTTTAACACTTCTCTAACCCTGTCCATGGAGGACAGAAGAAAATGTATATATTCTGGTTAGCATTGTAAATGTGTGGCCACGTCTGTGGTAGAAAATAATAATAAAAAAAAAAAAGTACTTATAGTATTATTGTATTATTTATATATTTGTATTTATTTATATACAAAAAGGTACATTGGATTGAGAAAGTACATTGATTGTATAAATATTGCTAAAGCTTTTGACAAGGTACCACATTAAGGAATGGAACTCACTCCTTAATGAATTGAAAAACTGTCCAACTTTTGCGTCATTCAAAAACAAAACTAAAAAGTACCAAATTTCATCTTCAGTTTTCTACCTTATTGCTTTAAAATTGCACTGAATCTAGTGCTACCCAATCTCCCAATCTTCATGTACCCAAGCCAAACAACTTTACCATTGTGATCATTGGTCATATACATATGACCTAGATGAGAATATTAATAATAATAATAATAATTTATTGTGTCGGGAGACTGGAAGCCAGAGTGCATTCCTAAGTTTACCTGAGAGTCACTAACACTTGTGGCCTCGGCGAGGACATGAAGCCGGCAGCTTGTTGAAGATCCCCCAGTTGCCTTTAAACGTTAACAGAGTTTTGGCATTTACGTCTTCAGCGGGTAGGCGGTTCCATGTTTTTTTTTAATAACCTTGTGGGTGAAGAAGCATCTCCTGTTCTCAGTCGTACATTGTGGCTTGTTGAGCTTAAAACCGTTGCTCCTTGTTTGTGTTACATCAAGACTTTTTGAACGTGTAACGTGTATTCATACACGTTAGGCTTATATCGAGCCCCCCCCCCAAAGGTCGAATTACTGACCCCGTCCAGGATGCAACCCCACAACAAGCTAACTTCTGAGTGCCTACTTACTGCTAGGTGAACATAGGCATTAGGTGAAAGAAAATGTGCCCAATCATTTCTGTCCCGTCCGGGATTCTCGGTTGTGCGAGATTTATGGTAAAGTGGGAAGAGAATGATATTGAACCTTATAAAGAAATCTACATGAACTCCACAACTGATCAGAAGACGGGCAAATGCTTATTAATATTGAAAAATGCAAGACCATGAATATGGGGCATAACAGCCTACGTTACAAATACCAAATTAATAACATTACCTTGCACCAGATTGACGAAGAAAAGGACCTTGGAGTCAAAATCCACATTCACTGAAAGTTGCACAACAGGTAGGAGCAGCAGTAAAAGAAGCTAACACAACCCTATGAAAAATCAAGCGTACCACTGACTTGATGGGAAAGAAGGTAGTGATTCAACTGTATAACAGTTGAATCAACAGATTAAATCAACAGATTAAATCAATAGTTGAATTAACACTAGCTTACAACAGATTGATGAAGAAAAGGACCTTGAAGTCAGAATCCATCATCCACTGAAAGTTGCACATCAAGTGGAAGGGGCAGTAACAAAAAACTAACCAAACCCTGGGAATAATCAAGCGTTCCTTTACCTTTAAGGAAAAGAAGGTAGTCATTCAATTGTATAAGTCTCTGGTACGCCCCCACCTGGATTACTGTATCTAGGCATAGAGACCTCATCTTTAGAAAGACATAGCTGCTCTGGAGGTGCAACACCGGGCAACAAAAATCATTCCAAAGCTAAGTCATCTCTGTTATCAGGAACGTAATTAACGTAACGGACAATTAGATATTAGAATTTGGTTCAATTCACTTTATAAGAGTTCAGAAAAAATAAAGCTAAAACCGAAACAATGCCTTGTATAGGACATATCTGTACTATATTAGGCCTCAGCGTGTGTCAAGCCTAGGATGATTAAGTTAGGTCAGGTTTATTAGCAAAATACAAAACCTTTTTCGGTTTGTCCAAATTCTATTTGCCAATTATCAATTACGTCAATATATAATACGATAGTCCACATCGTTACTATAAGTACTATCTAAAGAGGAGGATGGGTTGTTATTTTCATAGTCCTGTAATGACTTGCATTAATTATTATAGACGCCATTAACAACCTTAAAAAGAACCTAATCATGACCCCACCCAATGTACTTACAATAGACAGAAATCAATGATGATAATGGGAAACTAGCAGGGGGCAGACCCACGATCCCAAGGCGCTTATAATAACATTTGATGCAGCTCAGCAAGAAAACTTCTACCTTGAAATGGGATACATAATATTCTGGTTAACGCGTTGCGGAGGGTGACAATCTCCCTACCATGTGCATTGAGGAGGAATATCGTCAAACAGTTCCAAACAAAAGCGTGGCATATCACCCCGTGGGGCCTGCGACGTCATCTACAACTGCCGATATTAGCTAATATTTTAACAAACAATTTCGCAAAGCCGCAATATATGCGGTCGAATCATTCATTCTGTCACAAGAATATATGTAATAATAATAATTCTATGAACTAATAGGCGACTTAAGAGTTAAAACTCAACATTTTTATGCCAGTCTAAAAATAAAATGTGTAATATGAGAACGTAGCATCATGATTTTGGCCCAAAGTTTCCTGTATGCGCGATCCTTGTCCAGGGAGCCCCTCTGACGCCAGGCTCGATGTAGTCCACTCCTCCCACAATTAACCTTTCTACTGACAACTTTCCTTGATGTTTCCGGATGGTGCTTAATTGGTGTTTAACAATGGATTAAACATTGTAAATTGGGATTTGAAATTTAGAAAACAAATTTCGTGATGGCTAATTCTGAATTATTACGGTAAGTTGTGATGTATAGATTTTAATTGATTAGCAAATTAATTGCAATACAGTTAAGTGAAATAGGGGAAAATATCAGAGAGAGTAAAGAAAATAAATCCATAAAACGCCTCCGAACTGGAGTTAGATAAATATGTATATACTGTTTAAACATCTGTAGAAAAAATTGTCCTGTTGCAGAAACAAGCTGGTCACAGGTGAGATGGCGTTGCCGGTCCTCCTGCTGGTGGTGTGTGCAGGATGGTGGCCGGAGGGCGTGGGTGGTAGCCTCATCAGGGTCAACCTCACCATAGCCCTCTCGGACACCACAAATGTCACCAAGACCGTCGATATCGATGAACGCAGCTTGAAGAGTTTTAACGTGACTCTGGAAGAGTTCTCTAATTCTCTCGTCCGGACAGATGCTTTCGGGAAGGTGGGTGTGGTGGTTGATGGGGGGAGTGGTGGTCCATGGGGGTGGGGGGGAGGGATGGTGGATGAGTGTGGTGGTGGTAGGTGTAGTAGTTGGTGAGTGTGATGGTTGGAGTTTATGGTGGTAGGTGAATGTGGTTGTGGGTAAAAGTAGTGGTCGGTGAGTAAGGTAGTGGGTGAATGTGGTAGTAGGTGAGTGTTGTGATGGTTTAGTATGGTGGTGCATGAATGTGGTGGTGGGTGAGTGTGGTGGGAGGCGAGTGTGGTGACAAGACTCGTGTGGTGACAGGACTCGTGTGATGGAGTGTGGTGCTATGACTCGTGTGGTGGAGTGTGGTGCTATGACTCGTGTGATTGAGTGTGGTGCTATGACTCGTGTGATGGAATGTGGTGCTATGACTCGTGTGGTGGAGTGTGGTGACAGGACTCGTGTGGTGCTATGACTCGTGTGGTGGAGTGTGGTGCTATGACTCGTGTGGTGGAGTGTGGTGCTATGACTCGTGTGGTGACAAGGACTCGCGAGTTAGTGTGTGTGATACCAGAGGTCTTGTGCAGGTGAAGGAGACAGTGGTGGGCGGTCGACACATCCCGCTTGAGTTGGCGATGAACAATGACATGGACTCCGTCGTCTACACTTTCGGTACTGTCGATGGAGGTAGCTGGTCCGTCAGCAACAACAACTTCACTAACATCACCATCGAGGATTTTAGAGGTAAGTCGGCAGCCAGTAAAATGAGTGTCTTGAACTGTGTGGATATGTTATGGAACATTAAATCTGTTGAGGCTGGATTCTAACAACCATTAATTGATTAATATAACCGAGTTTAATATGATGTGAATATATGAGAGAGATGCACATGTTAAACATGAGTGACACGTCCCTGTGGTGCAGATGACGAGACACTGAGACCAGTGGAGGTGACGCTGGAGTGGTCCCTGCCGCTCCCAGCCCCGCCGCGCCCCGTCAACGTCACCATGAGGTCTGCCACCCTCGAGGCCACCATACACCTCCACAACTCCACCGTCAGTACCTTGGTTGCCTTCCTCCTCCTCTGTATACCCAACATTAAAACAAAAGTTGATATATTGTACACGCTTCTTCAAATTTTTATAAACAGATTCTTAATCAAATTATCAATGTTCAAATAAGATACTTAGATGCAGGACAAGAATGTTAGCAATAATTAAGATATTCAACTTTATTCTCCATCTTTATCTTACGCCTGTTAGGCCCTATTTAAATTATGCAGTAAAGTTTTGAGAATCATTATTTAATCGACATAAATTATTCAGAAAACGTGCAGAGAAGGGTGACAAAATTAATCCCGGGAATTAGAAACCTCCCTTACGGTCACAGGCGAAAGGTTCCACATCAATTCCAACGGCAGGACGGTGGCATTTGGGCAACGTTTCTTCTCATCTGTTCACCAAACATAAAAACGTTGACTAACACGAATTTTTATGTATGGAAGGCATCAGCTTTGTATTGTTGCAGCTGGTGTCGCAGAAGGTGGATGGACACCTGGAGAAGAGCAACTGGGTACTGCTGGTGCCCTACACAGGGATCTACCTGAGGGTGGTGAACCCCTACACCCGCCTCCTCACCCTCGCCGCCTACTTCAACACTGAAGACTATTTTGCCGACTTGGAGCTGGTGGATACCTTAAGAAATCTCCAGCATGGCAGGGTGGCCTTAATATCGTCTTATGTAAGTGTGGGATAACTAACAGCACTTCCTAGTAGTGTCGAACAAAAAAGGCAATTGTTTATCTTGGTACCAGCAACGAACAGGGAGCTATTATTAGCTGAGGGGGTTATTTCAGGTCTCCGTTGAACAATAATATTCGTAGTGGATTCATAGAGAGAAGACGTAGTTTGTGACAGCAAAACCTTAACCGGGGTTTTAATTAAAAATCAAGAGTATCCCCATATCTATAGCGCATCCAATAGTATCAGCAGCTAGACGTAAATATATATTACTGCTTCTCGGCTTCAACTCAGTTATAAGTATCCTTGAGCGCCTGCACCCCCCCCCCCGCCCTTATCAGCAAAATTGTGTTTAATTAAAACAAAACAAGAATGTTGGAGAGGAATTTTAGCTAAAGGAATATGAAGGTCCAGTTCTTTAATACATTATATAATTCCAACCTCTCCACTGACGCCCGACTGATGGCTCAGAATAGAATAATTATACTAACTGGAAACTAGTCTCTCACAAATGTTCATGAAATGTCGAAATACTTTAAAAACATTTCTTATTACCGAAAATATTAGCTAAATATCTCAAATTTGCCTACAAGGTAATGAACATACCGAATACATCATATTTTAATACAGTTCATTACTTCTGTAACCTGATAAGCTAGGAGGACATTTGGGTCCATTCCTAGAACCATTATCGTGACCGTTATTAATATTGCTAAGACATGAAGACTAAACTACTCACCAAAAGATGAGACGACGACATTTCGGTCCGTCCTGGACCATTATCATGTTGATTGTGATGGGAGCGAGAGAGGTAAGGCAAGAGAAGGTATTGCCAAGACTGTAACTTGCTCAGTTAAAAGCCCACTGCTATTTAGTTTTGGAGCTCATAATATGCCTCACACTAAATATTGTATACTGCGTAAAGTCATGTTAATCAAACGAACGATGAAGCAAAGTTATACATTTTCTCCGGTCTCTAGCCTCTGCCTCTGAATTTAAGGTATGGAATAAATAAATATATTCTACTAAATTCTGAATAGTTTAGTTAATTTATAATGCACTTCACTCGTTTTGTGAGTGGTAGTACAGGTTACATACGAACCCGGGAATTGATCCACACTAAAGTGTGGCAGTAGTATAGTAGTTATGAGTGATACACATAAATATGTCTCCCCAGTACGACGCCTCAGGCCGGCTGGAAGCGTCGTCTAAAGCCGCCCTCACATCTCTCGGGTCCTTCGCCGCCCAACACCTCACCTTCAGGGACTGTTGGGCGTGGGCCTGGCTGGTGGGGGGCTCCACGCTGGCTGAGGGGCTGGTCACCAACGCTCATGGCACCACCAGTTTCCCACACTCACTAGACCTGCAGCTTGTCCTTCCTCCGCCCCCGCCATCCTCAGGTGATTTGGGTTTGCAACACATGTCTAGTAGGCCAATGGCTTTGTGCAAGACATTGAGTAGAAATAACAAGAAATTATAAAAAAAAACAATTAAATTTTGAGCCATCTCTTGGCTTTAACGAGAAAAATGTGTACAATATGTTGCAGAGCGTCTGTGCGACTCGTGGTCCGAGTTGTGGAGTAAACGACAACACTTTTGTGACGCGTATGACGGTTACGGCGACCTGTGCTCCTGCTGCACGCCCTTCACCCCGTCCACTAATACTACCACGGTGAGCACCACGCCCCCAGCATCACTATGCCCTTCCTCCAGCACCACGCCCCCAGCATCACTATGCCTTTCCTCCAGCACCACGCCCCCAGCATCACTATGCCCTTCCTCCAGCACCACGCCCCCAGCTTCACTATGCCCTTCCTCCAGCACCACACCCCCAGCATCATTATGCCCCTCCTCCAGCACCACGCCCCAGCATCAGTATGCCCCTCCTCCAGCATCACTATGCCCTTCCTCCAGCACCACGCCCCCAGCATCACTATGCCCTTCCTCCAGCACCACGCCCCCAGCATCACTATGCCCTTCCTCCAGCACCACGCCCCCAGCATCATTATGCCCCTCCTCCAGCACCACGCCCCAGCATCAGTATGCCCCTCCTCCAGCATCACTATGCCCTTCCTCCAGCACCACGCCCCCAGCATCACTATGCCCTTCCTCCAGCACCACGCCCCCAGCATCACTATGCCCTTCCTCCAGCACCACGCCCCCAGCATCACTATGCCCTTCCTCCAGCACCACGCCCCCAGCATCACTATGCCCTTCCTCCAGCACCACGCCCCCAGCATCACTATGCCCTTCCTCCAGCACCACGCCCCCAGCATCAGTATGCCCTTCCTCCAGCACCACGCCCCCAGCATCACTATGCCCTTCCTCCAGCACCACGCCCCCAGCATCACTATGCCCTTCCTCCAGCACCACGCCCCCAGCATCAGTATGCCCTTCCTCCAGCACCACGCCCCCAGCATCAGTATGCCCTTCCTCCAGCACCACGCCCCCAGCATCACTATGCCCTTCCTCTAGCACCACGCCCCCAGCATCACTATGTCCTTCCTCCAGCACCACGCCCCAAGCATCACTATGCCCTTCCTCCAGCACCACGCCCCCAGCATCACTATGCCTTTCCTCCAGCACCACTAAGCGCCACTATGCCCTTTCCCCAGCACCACTACGGTGAGCTGCCACGCCTTCCACAGCACCACCACAACCACGGTGACTACCTCCGTCACCAGCACCACGCTCCTCATTCAGACTACAGCGAGCACGATTTCTCTACCAAACCCACCCAACCCGGGAAGGAGATATATGTACTGTGGGAACTGGGATATACTTCTCAAGCAGACGAGGAGCCACAGTAACGTGGCTGAAATATGTTGACCAGACCACACACTAGAAACTGAAGGGACGACGACGTTTCGGTCCGTCCTGGACCATGCTCAAGTCGATTGTGATCCTTACACTTCTCAATGTTTACATATACTTGTCAGTTGGTCCCCAAGCTCTTGCACTTACAAAACGGTGACTATGGTGAAGTGATTTTTAGTTCTTCATGCCTGTTGTACCTGTTGCGTTATAATTGAACTATTCTGACCGTTCGAAATGTTTGTCGTTGATAAGTATTAAGGCCAACACCAAACTTCCAGTTCCAAGCCACCCAACATGCAATACTCGACCACCAATACAACTGTAGCAGAATTAAAAAAATAGAGCTGATACAGAACGAGGCTATGAGGATTATTCTTGGATGTCAAAGAAATGCAATGATTGAAATAATGAGAATGGAATTAAATTTACAGAGTGTGTGTGATAGAGTCCGTGACATTAACACTAGAGTAGCTATTCGTTTCATGCGGAGAAAAGGAGGGGATAAGCTGTTTGAGAGCGTTCAGACCTGCTTGAGTGACGTACACACTTCCAGGAAACTGAGGGAGACACGCTACACGAGGGGATTAGCTCATGACCTCAGGGAATACGATGTACTTGACTGCTGTAAACCCTCTCGACAGTGTAATAGGTCTGCTCCCTGGAAAGTACAGAAAATAGACGTCGAAATTGTACCCCTCAATGTGAAAAAGATTCATCATGAAACGGGACAATTACGGTGTATGTATGGAAGCATGATATCCCGGTTACCAAGAGGCAACAGTTTACATGTATATTGCGACGGGTCGGTGGCGGAGGATGGCAGGGCAGGGTGTGGTGTCCTCATAAGGGAATATACAGAGTTTGGGACTGTGGACAGGAAAATTGAACTCCGGCTTAGTAATTATATATCATCCACACAAGCTGAACTGCAGGCCATTCTGGCGTGTTTGGAGGAAGTACGTCATGACGGCAAAAATGTTTTTGTATTTGTCGATAGCCGAGGAGCACTGGAGTCCTTAAACAGTCGAAACCCAGTCTTCATGTCTATAGTTGAGGATTGTAAGAGAAGAATAGCTGAGATACAGCTGAAAGGTCATAGTGTGAAATTCATGTGGATTCCATCTCATGTTGGAATAGTGCTCAACGAGGTGGCGGATGACTTGGCCAAACGTGCCACATCAAAACCACAAATTGACATTGAATGTGAATTCACAATGAGACAAATAAGAAGCAAAATCAGAAATATTCAGGCACAGGCAGGAGTGGAGAGGAGAGGGATAATGTATGAGAGAAGTCTAACCATGCAACACTACATGTATGTGAGTCAAAACACCCTTTTCACTTATGGTAAAAGGAGAAATGCTTGGAGTGACTCTGTGTACATGCGGCTCAGGCTTGGGTACAAATATTACTGGGAATATGGGATAGGCGTTCATGATAATGACACGAAGTGTAAACTATGTGGTATGTTAAGGTCTCACACCCTTGCCCATTATGTTCTTGATTGTCCGTTGATTAATGTATATAGAAACACTGAGATAAGGACTGTTCCTGAGCAAATAGCCTGGATGTGTCACAAAGGAAAGGTTGATGATATTCTTGAGAGATATAAGAATTTTGCACCAAGACTGTAATATTTTGTTGAATTATCCGTATAACTAGGTCATAAAAGTATTTGTGTACGTCTGATACCATACCACTTGTGAAGGAGGAAATGTACATGTTTATCTCTCAGAATGTTTGGTAACAGGTTTATTGTTTGTGATGTGTGTCTATGTATGTACTAACACGTTGTACTGAACGGGGTGAGAATAGCTTGAGCTACCTCATCCCTTTGTGTGTATTTTACCTCAATAAACTTATTTCAATTTCAATTTCAATACAACTGTACATCACATATGAAATTTACTGATCCTTATTTGTATATCATATCCTTTTGTCCCAGAAAACTATCAGTAAACTGCATATATTTACTCTTACGTTACTTTCCAATACCCACACTTAACCCACAACAGACGTCTATTGAACTTCTCAACAATGAAGACCTTGCAGTGCCTACGATGTCTTACGGTAAGGTCCATATCTAGCCTTAAGTAATTATATAATGTATAGTATCTGTGCATGGAATGAACAAAATATGGACGTTTTGTACTACTTATTTTGTAGAGCCCGAGAAAGAAGGCAACAACCAAGCCTAATCTTTCCTAGACCTAGTATAGTGCATATGTGCTATTGTTGTCCCCTAACTTCTCTTGCCACTTCGGGGGGGTATAGGGTGTTTATGTAGCTTCAGGGCACCAATCCCCCCAGCCACAGGGCATAACGAGAAGGCACCCCTAAGGAATTAGAACTAAGAGTGCAGATTACGCCTATGATATACTAGGCTATTTCAGTTTTTGTTATGCCTTTTAATATACCAACAATACAAAACATGGACTATTTTAGATGAAGCAGTTCATATTCCGCACATTCCATCTGCATTCACTATAGGTACCATGATTTTTGTAGAATGACTTCTGAAATTTGTCATTAAAATATATTCTTTACCTCGAAACATGTGTATTTGCAGGGCGTACCACGCGAGGAGCTGGGAGTGGTAGTGGTCGCAAGCAACAGGCCACGATACCTCTACAGGTAGGTCTCTCTCTTCTGTGGTGGAAAATCATATAACCTAATTAACCCTGAACTTTAAGTTTGCAATCTTTTTTTTCCGTACATTGATATTTTTGCTGTGTAAACATTGCCGGTGACTACGTCCACCTGCAGGTTATTGCGACAGCTGCTAACACAGGTCGGGGTGGTGGTCGAGCAGGTGTTGGTGTCGGTGGACGGGGAGTGTGTGGAGACCATCAAGCTGCTGGAGGTGTTGGGTCTCAGGTGGCTGGTGCACGCCCCGGAGGGCTCCTTGTCACCCCGGATATCCAGGTAAGACCACGCACATGCTAGGATAGTCATGTTAAAAGTATATATATATATATATATATATATATAAAATAGCATGCACGTTTCGGGCAATATTCCATATAGATAAGTGTTAATAGGCAAAATTTAGTTTCCAGAAACATACTATAGCCGATAGACTGGTCTTATAAATAAATCAAGACTTAGCAAAATAGTAATTATGGTCTTTAAAACAAATTGTAATGTATAGACGCGGTCATGAATGTGGTATTACAGACACGTGAGGTTCGCGCTGTTCCACGCCCTGGAGGAGGTGTCTGCTGACAAGATCATCGTGCTGGAGGAAGACCTCATCCTCGCCCCTGACTTCTTCTCGTCAGTGGCTTCTTCGCCGCCACTCCTGGCGGTGACCTTTTGCTATACTTTGTGGAATATGATTAATTACTTTCATAGATAAGATTTCAAAGATTAATTACTTTCATAGATAAGATTTCAAAGATTAATTACTTTCATAGATAGCGTGTTAACGGCGTTTATGGCAATATTGCACATTGTTCTACATTTATGGGGCATGTACTTAAATTTGATAATTGCAAAATATGTTGTGCAATTTAACGCATATTTATTGAAAATTTACTGATACAATAATGCTTACGTGCATTATTTTACCATGTAGTGTCTCTAATATATGAATATTAGACACACTATATAGCAGCGTGTTTTAGGGCAAACATGGCTCTAAATAATCTATATAACCTGTCCCAGAACATCGTTTAAAGCCTAAAGCCCAACGTAATCAACAATTGCCAATGCTTACACCATTAAACTCGCAGTACAAACAAAGTAACGCATCCAAGAGCTGAAGTTCACCTTCCGCCACCACAGATGTATAACTAGGAAGACAAGTACACACTCACAGATCTGCCACCACCATTCAAAGGGTAAATAAGAAGAGTTTACAAGTATCCACTTTAGTGATGGTCAGTAGTGTTCACCAGTGGTATTTACAGGTATATGCAGCAGACGGCCGTATTGCTTGACCGGGATCCTTCACTTTACGCCGTGTCCGCCTACTCCCACTTCTCCTACGCCCACACAGCCCACGATCCCACCCGCCTCAATCGGGTGCACTCTCTCCCCGCTTACGGCTGGATGGTCAAGAGGAGTTTCCTGAGGGAGACGCTGCCCAAGTGGCCTCCCGTCTCTGTGGTAATGTATGATGCACTTGGGCACATTGAGGGAATATATGCAACAAATTCCACTCTTCCGGGGGAATTTATGCAAAAAATAAAAAAGCCAGACAGACTATCCAATAATATTTAGTTTTCTGATATATTAAAAAGAAATCGGTAACACGGATTCCCCAGGAAGCTCACTCTCCTTGGTGGGTTCCCGACTCCCACAGACAACTGACTGGGACTATTGGATGGGGTGTGGACTGGTGCGACGCGGCCGGGAGCTGGTCATTCCAGAGGTCTCCCGCACTACTCATGCTGGACTATCCGGCACTCACTTCTCTGGACAACTCGCCAAACGACGCTTCTCGAACAAGCCTCTCTCACACGACCCCAACACCCTAGTTAACCTCACATCGTAAGTCTACTACACTTTGTGGCGAGTCTCGCCGTGCAAGTTCCCTTCACTTCATCATGGAGCATTTAAGAGAGGAGGGCACTGTTAGCATTTTCCGCATTGACAGCACATACAGTATAATTAAGAGTTAGTTTAAGGTGTCGTGTGGCGTAGTTGGCTCACAACCGAACGATCCCGGGTTCGATCAGGACGAGGTGTTCGTGCACTTTTCCTTACACCTAATACTTTTGGTTACCCAGCAGTAAATAGCAACTGGAATTTGAACCCCAGGCCATATATGTATGCAATGGGTGCCAGGAAATACAATTCGCCCTACACCACAGAAACCTTGCTTGTTACGTGTGACATTCCTAACCCCATTTAACACTACTAACGTCCTACCCACGATATCTTTAACAATATTATGCAATATCACAAGTTCTACTTCATATTATATTTGCCTTCACATTAGTTACTTACAAATAAATTGCACATATTTGCCGTTCTTTTTTACATACAATTTTTTTTGTTCCCTTAATTAGTAGGCATCTTGAGTGATGCATTTATAGTTTTCATTTATTTATGAATTACTTAGTACTATGCATCCATAATAGGCTTTTCTTTATACTTCATATATTTTCGTTTTCTTTATCAGAAAATGTAATAAATATTTTGAATTAACAACGAATTTAGAAGCAAGAGCAGGAATACTGAATTTTGGTTGTCGATGAAGACAACTCAAAGCACTGACACGATGTGTTGCAGTGTGGACAGGAAGGTGTACGAGAGAGAGCTGAGAGACTTGCTGGTCAGGGCCCTGCCTCTGAACATCACTAACCCATACAACTTCACTTTCCCTGTCCATGTGAGTATCTTATCTTCTCTGTGCACGTAAGTACCTGCCCTGCCTACCACGGGTGTAAATAAGGGTTAAATTGCTCAAAATCTTATATCTAGGAAAGTTCTTCACTGATTGCTTTGAAATTTTGACACAATGTTGCATTCGAATACTCGCGTGTTTGTATATACCTACTATGTAGATGTGTATACATCTACATAGAAGGTGTATACACATCTGGTGGAATGGTGGGGGGACGGGGGAGGGTAGGGAGTTCTAGAGTCGGCAAACCAGACAATCTCTATATCTCCACAGACAATGGAACAACAAAAAATATTGTATACCCACAAGCATTGTGAAATTAAACGTATTAGAAATGTGTGCTTTCTCTTTTCTTTCTTTTCCATTTAACCAGACTGAGCCACAGCAACGCGTGGCCGGGTACAGCTAGTTTAAATATAAATTCTTATTCATCTTGTCTTCTTGTGTCCTCTGTTTTTGTCTCAGGCTTCCCAATATTGATTCCACATTAAACTCACCCAGTACAAATAATTTTACTTTATGTCCAAGTACGCTTTTTTTATTTTTATTTTATCCTAATTATGGAGTTTTTTCCTGGTGGTGCTTTTAAGGGCGGAGTGTATGCTGCTTGTGTCAAGATGATGAGCTCCAGCGACATCGTCGCTTTCAAGGTCCTCGCTGATGTATGTAAAACTGTCACAGTATGTCTCATATTACTTATCTAAAACCCAAATGTAAAGTCATCCAAGTAAATGTGTAAATTTGAGGAATTTCAAAACGAACCCAAAGTCTTTAGTATGTTTTCATTTGTCCCCAGGCTTTACAGGTGTGGAACCAGGACTTGAGGGATCATCACTATGGCTTGTGGAGAATACCCTTCCACCGTGCCATCATTCTCATCATAGGAATCCCATATTCAAAGTACAGGTAATTTGTTTTCAATATAATATGTTTTTATCTACGTTAGTTTAGCCATGCATTTATTAATCACTCATTAGGCTTCGGGTAAATATGTGGTACAATGCATTACTGAAACGCTTCTTATATTTCTTTTCAGTAGCTTTTTTATCATTATTACAATTATTATTGAAATTTTATTATTAATAATACAAATAATATTATTATATCGTCTTATCATAAGATTATACAAAAAATACAGATATCCAACCCATCAATTACTGTATTAGGAAGGAGAAATTTATGAAAATCTTTCCTGCACAATACATGTGAAATTGTTTCAGACAAATGTGCTAAGAAACTGGCAAGTCTGAGAAAGATAGCTTATTATCTATAACATGCTAAGAGCCCTACAGTGGTCTCCCTGCAGATCGACGTTCGATCCCAGTCTGTCCAAGTGGTAGGGCACTATTCCTCTCCTTCGTCCTATTCAAAATTATTGTCATCATACCCATTCGAACGCCAAGTGCTATATAGTCATAATAGCTTAGTGCTTTCTCCTAATAATTATCAATCTTATCTATCCCGGTTTGCATTTGTAGACTGATTTGGATATATGCGTATTTTGGTCCCAGTCTGTCGAAGTGGTAGGGCACTATTCCTCTCCTTCGTCCTATTCAAAATTATTGTCATCATACCCATTCGAACGCCAAGTGCTATATAGTCATAATAGCTTAGTGCTTTCTCCTAATAATTATCAATCTTATCTATCCCGGTTTGCATTTGTAGACTGATTTGGATATATGCGTATTTTGGATGTTTCAGTACTTGAGATGTAAACGTTTCAGTGTGGCTGTTAACATTTGTCAGGATAACATCTCTCTCAGTCTCAGTGTTAATCTTAGTGTGCACTGCCCAATGGTCCGGTTGACCAGCATAGCTCAGAGGACATTAGACGAGTCTTTCTGCCAGACCTCTGATGTCAAGTGATGATCTTGACAAATGTATAATGTAATGATGGTCCTTTAAACCAAAGATGCCTACGAATGTGTCCAATACTCGAGCTTGATGGGATTGAGCTTTGGCTCTTTGGTCCCGGCTCTCAACTGTCAATAAATGTATGTACATTGGTTTGATATTATTATTATTGTAGTTGTTCTTATTACTGTTATTATTACTTCCAGTTACGGCTACATGAAAGATCATTGCCCTGTGTTGAAGGTGAAGAAGAAACACTACGAGCACATGATGGAAAACTACTTGGACCAAACCTACCACTTTCTGGAGCACGGGAATCACGACTACCTGAATATATTGAAGTTCTCACATGACCAACCTTACCCGGGTTTGGACTCACAGAAGCTCTCCACAGGGCTCTGTGGCGCTGCTGCTGCAGGCGAGGCTACCAGCGCTGATAATATACTTGAAGACCAGCACACATATAACAATGTATATGTTGAGGACCCGCACAATTATGCCAGTACACCAATTAGAGATGTGTCCAATTATACTAGTACACCGGCTGGAGATGAGTCTCATTATACCAGTGCACGAGCGGAAGATCGGTCCAATTATACCAGTACGCCAGATGATGCGTTTAATTATACCAGTGCACTAGCTGAAGACCAGTCCAATTATACCAGTGAGCCAGTTGAAAATGCGTCCAATTATACCAGTGAGCCAGTTAAAGATGCGTCCAATTATACCAGTGAGCCAGTTGAAGATGCGTCCAATTATACCAGTGAGCCAGTTGAAGATGCGTCCAATTATACCAGTGAGCCAGTTGAAGATGCGTCCAATTATACCAGTGCATCTGTTGAAGATCGACTCATTTATACCAGTACGCCAGTTGATGATCGTCCCAAATATATCAAAAAGCCATTTGGAGAGCTGTTCAATTATATCAGTGAACCAATTGAAGACAAGTCCAATTATACTCGCGCACCTGTTGGAGACTCGCCCAGTTATACCAGACCTCCTGCTGAAGATTTTTTCAATTATACCAACATAACTTTTGAACACCACTCTAATTATACCAACACCAGGACCTCATTTAAAGACCAGCCAACTTATGCAGGTAGACCTACACCAGTCAAGAGCAAATTCAATTTTACCAGTGCACCAGTTGAAGAGTGATCCTATTACACCAATACTTCAGTTGAAGACTGGGTCATTTATGACAATAGCTCACATCTTGTTCAAAGTATAGATCAACCGGCACTCTTTCTCCCACTCGGTGTGAAGCAGTTAGTAAAACTGCAAGCGGGAACAAGTTAATATATTAGTGTGAACAATTGGATAGTGACGAATCGGGTTATATAATTTTGGACTAATAATTATTGTAAGCGTTTAAGATCCGAGCAAAATCTTGGTATTAAATATAAAAATGCGAAACGTATATGATAAAATATTATAAGAAATTTATTGAGAAACCCAACAACTCCATTTACAGAAGAAGCAAAGGACACAGATATTTACCAAAACAGGACATATTAAGGTAGAAGTGATCGCACAAAGCCTATTACCAGAGTCTATATATATATATATATATATATTCCTTCCCTGCCCACCATTATATTCCTATTCCTTTCGCAAGGTCACTCCTTACTTTCTCTCCTGAGAATGTAAGGAGTGACCTTGCGAAACGCATCCCTAGGTGTCAGACCAAAAATAAAAGTGTGAAAATGAACTTTGGAGAGTTAATTTGTCATCTTCCCCTGACAGTGAAGAAAAACATAAGAAATATTCGGAAGGTTCCTGTTAGAATCTTACCCTTTCGGTCATATTCCACAACATATGTTTGCAAGAAAGACACTCGCCTGGCGTTCCGCGAGCGCTATGTCATGGGTTCGTATCCTGGCCGGGGAGGATTTACTGGGCGCAATTCCTTAACTGTAGCCTCTGTTTAACGCAACAGTAAAATGTGTACTTGGATGAAAAAACGATTCTTCGCGGCAGGGGATCGTATTCCAGGGACCATAGGATTAAGGACTTGCCCGAAACGCTACGCGTACTAGTGGCTGTACAAGAATGTAACAACTCTTGTATATATCTCAAAAAAAAAAAAAAAGACTGCTACCAATATATATATATATATATATATATATATATATATATATATATATATATATATATATATATATATATATATATATATATATATATAGTTTTCAGTTATATACATATATATACATATACATATATATATATATATATATATATATATATATATATATATATATGTATATGTATATATATGTATATAACTGAAAACTCACACCCCAGAAGTGACTCGAACCCATACTGCCAGGAGCAACGCAACTGGTATGTACAGGACGCCTTAATCCACTTGACCATCACGACCGGACATAAGGAAGTGATAGCCGAAGTTATTTGAACCACTTCCCCGCCGGCACTCGGATGATAATCTTGGGCATAGCATTTTATCAAATCACCTCATTCTTTGGGGCACACGTGAAGAACACAAATGCGAACAAGCCTGAATGATCCCCAGGACTATATGCAACTGAAAACTCACACCCCAGTCACTTCTGGGGTGTGAGTTTTCCCAGCAGCACCCAGTCTTTAATTTGGCACCTTTGTGGCACCTTGGTATAAGCCTAACATGTATATATACACTGGCTGCCTGTCCCCCTACATAATGATTTATTATTACCTATTATTTTATCATTTAATTTAAATATTAAATAAAATAATTAATTTAATTATTATAGTAAGTACTTAATAATTTAATAATAAGTAGTAAGTACATAAAATGATTAAAAAGTACAGTTTAGGAGATTCCTAAGATTGGAATTCACTACCAATTTTCAATATCAAGTATTTTTAGTATGAAATGCTGTTATTATATGCATAAATTGTTGTTTTAATAATATTACGCTTAACCACTTGGCCTGGACGGTAGAGCGACGGTCTCGTTTTCTACAGGTCCGCGTTCAATCCCCGACCGCCCAAGAGGTTGGGCACCATTCCTTTCCCCCGTTCCATCCCAAATCCGTATCCTGATCCCTTCGGAGTGCTATATAGTCGTAATGGCTTGGCGCTTTCATTTGATAGTTCCCCCACCCCCCCTGAATAATATTACGAGAGCAGTATTTACGGGCTATTCATGCCCGTGCCACCTCTTGGGTGGCTTAATCTTCATCAATCGAGAGCAGTACGTCCTAACCAGACGTTATATGATGATATCCTGAACAGTTGATAAATAAAAGTAATTGCGGAACTCCAGTTATCTAATACTTATCATAAATGGTATAAAAAAAAACTTATCATAAGCCAAGGGATTTGTAGTTCAGTGTTTAAAGGGAATTCGGAAGTAATAATAACAGCTGATGCCATCTGTCGGCAGAAGAGAACACTATCAACTGGCAGGTCAACAGTAGCCATAAGATACAGCTTACGCCATCTGTTGACATCAAATTACACTTATAACAAATTACCCTACAAAATACCACTAACGCCATCTAGTTTTTTTCCAACGCACTATAAATAGCCAAACAGCAACCCATAAGGTGGGTTGTTGTGCTCGGGTAGGAGGTTCCAAGCTCCGCCCACAAGTGGTATGGGGTGCATAATAAATGGCATATCATTGGTAGATATTCTTTGTTGACATTCACACAACAGCCAATCACAGGAAGGGATCAGCTAAAGGCTCCATCCACTTAATAAATCATCTTTATTCAGCACACCATCCTTGCTTATGACATTCTGCTTCAACTTTAATCTACCTAAAAAGTGAAATGTTAAGTATTTAAAAGTATTAATATAGTGATAATTAAATACTGCAGGATGTAACGAGTGTTACAGAAACATGGGCTGGCTACCTAACTTGTGACGTCATCAGTGGGGGTTGCCTCACACAAATAATATCGGCGATACAATGCCTCCTTCCTCTTATTGGTCTACATTATTCAGTTAGATGGAAATTTCTGTCTTGTATAAAACAGAAATTGTTGTTCTTTTGTACAACAACAAGGTTATTGAGCAAAAGGATGTATTTCTTATTTTATTCATATAAGCGTTGGCATTCACAAGATGGTATGGGGTGCATAATAAATAAAATGGTGGCATATCATTGGTAGAAACTCTTTGTTGACATTCACACAACAGCCAATCACAGGAAGGGATCAGCTATAGGTGCCATCCACTTAGTAAATCATCTTATAGTTCAGCCCACCAGTTCTGCTTATGGAATTCTGCTTTAACTTTAATTTACCCAAAAAGTGAAGTGTTAAGTATTTAAAGTGTTAATAAAGTGATAATTAAATATTGCAGGATATAATAAATGTTATATAAAAATGGGTTGGCTACCTAACTTGTGACGTTATTATTGGGGATTGCCATGACACAAATAATGATACACTGCTCTGCCCTCTTATTCGAGTAAATTATTCAGTTAGATGGAGATTTCTGTCAGGTGCAAAACAGAAATTGTTGTTCTTTTTCACAACACCCTTGTTGTTGTGCACAAGGACCTATTTCTTAGTTTAAATTTTATTCATAAAGAAGTGTTGGTATTCCCCGCAACAGCCAATCACAGGAAGGTATTTCTGGAAGCTCGGCCTCCTTATGGACTCAGCATATCGATCTAGCTCATGGCTCTCTGTTTCATCTCTTGTATATACAAACTATGACTTTTTCCATTACTGTTAAATTAATAATATGAGATATAGAAGTTTTTACACAAAATGGCTATATTCTGTCATTAAATGGACTTTGTTTGGTATACATACATACATACACCAATTTATTACCATTCATCCATTATTAATTTCAGGAAATGTATATGTTTATCTCTCAGAATGTTTGGTAATATGTTAATTGTTTGTGATGTGTTTATATGTATGTATTAACACGATGTACTGAACCGGGTGAGAATAGCTTGGGCTACCTCATCCCTTTGTGTGTATTTTACCTCAATAAACTTATTTCAATATCAATTTCAATTACTAATTTCAAAGGTAATGTATATACTGTTCAGTTTTTTTCCTCTCGCCATTACTTGGTGCAATAATTGAAAGTTGTCTATTTATTTATCGATCTATCTATTACCTTTTTTTTTTAGTGTAGTTCATTTATTATGCACCCCATACCCATCTTGTGGGCGGTAGTGGAAAGAGTTACAGAGGCACATAATGGGCTCAGGGACTGAACCCCACAATTCATTTAGCTAAGCAAGTTACAATCTTGATGAGCTAGTTACAAAATTCAATATAAATCGTCACATCAACAATGGGTTCGAGATCAACCTCTAGTACAGGTTCTAAATTAAGCAACAGACATATGTGGAGAGCTAGTGTCACAATTTATATGTTTGTCCTGCACACCGCCCCCCATCCAGTGGGCAGCGGTGGATAGGTTACAATCACTTAGTTACTACCTACAGTTAGCAAACTCGGGATATTTGGCTAAAATTTCTGGTAGCAGATCATTTTGAATGAAATATTGACACATCGCTGGAACATTGGTTATAGAATTGTCTCTAAATTCACGTATGTTTTCGCACTCCATCACAACTACCTCTTACTTAAACTCCAGCATTATGGAATCCGAGGCCTTGCCCTTGACTACATCCGATCCTATCTTAGTGACAGACACCAATATGTAACCATCAATGATACAACTTCTTCCACTCTACCAATTACCGTTGGAGTGCCACAGGGCAGCATCTTAGGACCTCTTCTATTTCTTATATATATAAACGATCTGCCTAATGTCTCTAATATTCTCAAACCTATATTGTTTGCTGACGATACTACCCTTATCTACTCAAACCTCAACCCACATACACTAAATAATGTTGTGAATAATGAATTAAAAAAAGTCCACTTATGGATGTCAACGAACAAACTAACATTAAACATCGAAAAGACTTACTACATCTTATTTGGAAGCAAATCATCAAATGCAATTCAGCTACAGATAGACAACATTAACATCAGTAATAAAAATGATGGCAAGTTTCTTGGCCTATTCCTAGACAAGAGACTCAACTTCAGCACCCACATTCAACACATAACTAAGAAAGTCTCTAAGACAGTTGGTATACTCTCCAAAATCAGATATTATGTTCCTAACTCTGCTCTCCTCTCACTATATTATGCACTAATCTACCCCTATCTTAATTATGGTATCTGTGCATGGGGGTCTACCACTGCAAACCACCTTAAGCCCATCATCACACAGCAAAAATCTGCTATCAGAATAATAACTAACTCTGCTTTCAGACAACACTCAGCTCCCTTGGTTTAAATCCCTAAACTTGCTAAATATTAACTCCCTCCACACATTCTCTTGTGTCAACTACATTTACAAAACCCTGTTCTTAAATGCAAACCATGCTCTGAAACTCTCCCTGGACAGATGTAATAGGACCCATTATCACCACACCAGAAATAAATATCTCTTTGATATCCCCAGGGTCAAACTTAATCTGTGTAAACACTCTATGCAAATTAAGGGACCTAGTCTATGGAACTCACTCCCTAGTGAATTGAAAAACTGTAAAACTTTTGCCTTATTTAAAAGCAAAACCAAAAAGTACCTAACTTCATCTATTTAGTTTCCTACACTGAGCTTTAAATTTGCTCTGTACCTAGTGTTACCCAATCTCCTAATTTTTATGTAATATCAAACA